CATCATCAATAAATACAAGAGAACCAGTTCCATTGGCAGCCATACATGCCCAAGCCATGACACTACCACCACCATGCTTCACTGATGAGGTGGTATGCTTTGGTTCATGAGCAGTTCCTTTCCTTCTCCATACTCTTCTCTTCCCATCACTCTGGTGCAAGTTGATCTTTGTCTCATCTGTCCATAGGATGTTGTTCCAGAACTGTGACGGCTTTTTTAGATGTTGTTTTGCAAACTGTAATCTGGCCTTCCTGTTTTTGACATTCACCAATGGTTTACATCTTGTGGTGAACCCTCTGTATTTACTCTGGTGAAGTCTTCTCTTGATTGTTGACTTTGACACACAAACACCTACCTCCTGGAGAGTGTTTCTTCACCAAGGAGAGAATTCTTCGGTCATCCACCACAGTTGTTTTCCGTGGTCTTCCGGGTCTTTTGGTGTTGCTGAGCTCACCGGTGCGTTCTTTCTTTTTAAGAATGTTCCAAACAGTTGATTTGGCCACACCTAATGTTTTTGCTATCTCTCTGATGGGTTTGTTTTGTTTTTTCAGCCTAATGATGGCTTGCTTCACTGATAGTGACAGCTCTTTGGATCTCATATTGAGAGTTGACAGCAATAGATTCCAAATGCAAATAGTATACTTGAAATCAACTCTGGACCTTTTATCTGCTCTTTGTAAATGATATAATAAGGGAATAACACACACCTGGCCATGGAACAGCTGAGCAGCCAATTGTCCCATTACTTTTGGTCCCTTAAAAAGTGGGAAGCACATATACAAACTGTTGTAATTCCTACACCGTTCACCTGATTTGGATGTAAATACCCTCAAATTAAAGCTGAAAGTCTGCTGTTAAAGCCCATCTCGTTCGTTTCATTTCAAATCCATTGTGGTGGTGTATAGAGCCAAAAAGATTAGAATTGTGTCAATGTCCCAATATTTATGGACCTGACTGTATATATATATATATAATTTTATATTTCTCTACATATGCTGTATAAGTAAATATATCTGTATTAAATAAATATAAAAAATAATGTATTATAAAATAATGTAAATAAAATAATGTATTATACATAATTATATATATATATATATATATATATATACACACACACACATCTATATATTATGAAGTGTATTACTGAATATAAAATTATGTATAATACATTATTATGATATATTAGTAAATATACTGTTACATATTTTTTAATATGTATTATTCAATATATTCTATTATATTACCACAATATATTATTCTGTATATTTTCAAATATACTTTTAAACCATTAAAGGTGGTTATATTGGTCATTCAATTGATAGGGACATATATTTTTTAGGGTCCAAGGGTTTACTCATCAAATGCTGTTATTCAAAGTGGAACTGCATTCAAGGTATACATTTTAACTATATGTTAATTCCCTAGAAATCAAACCCACAACCATGACCTTAGAAAAAGCAAATGCGTTGCTTCAGGGTATATAACATACAAAACCTGTATCAATATCAGGCTAAGAGGGATGTGGGCAACAAAATGAACTGTTGAAACAAGCTACTGAAATGTACCCTCAGCCACAAAGAAACAATAATAAAAGTCTTTGGAACGTCAGTCAAACTATTAAACACCATGTCTGAGTAAACAGATCTAAAAAATAATATTTTATTGCTAGGTAATAGCTGTGGGAAGGGTTTGATGAAAAGAGCATGATTTGGTTTTTCTGTCTGAACCCACCTGCTGTTCCTCTAGTGATACGACCGAGCCGTTACTTCCACTTCTCCTCTGTCGCTGGAAGGCAGCGATTTCCTCCGTCTTAATCCTCAGAATTTTCTGCTGCTGTTCGTTCTTTATCTCCAGCTCCTTTGAGAAAGAGAAAGACACTCTTTGGTAAATCATTCACTATTGAAAAACAAGAATAAGTGGGAGGCTGAGGTTTCTCTGAAGATTAGTATTGTTCAGAATACAGAAACAAAAATGACTAATGCTGGCCCTTACAAAGCAGAACTGGTGTGGGAGAAAAAAAAAACCTGCGATGAACACACTGCGAAAAAAAACCATTAAATGTGTAATTTCTGCAACACCAGCGGCAACGCGCAAAGAAAGGCCTGATCTGAAGTGAAGACAGAAAAAATAGCATATTTTTTTATATTTTATGAAGAAAATTTGTGTTTGTTTTATACACGACCATTTGAAAGTTAGTTTTTTTTGTTCATGTCTCCAAAGAAGTTTCACCAAGGCTGCATCCATTTGATAAAAATACAATGAAACAGTAATATTGTGAAATATCATTACAATTTTAATCTGTTTTAAAATGTTATTTACTCATGTGATGCAAAGCTGAATGTTCAACAGCATTACTACAGTCTTTAGTGTCGCGTGATCCCCAAAAAAATCATTCTAAAAAGGTTTAGATTTGCTGCTAACGTAACTGAAATACATTTTTCAAGATTCTTTGATGAATAGTTTAAAACAACAGCATTTATTTTAAAAAAAAATAATATTTTTTTTTTACCGTCACTTCTAAAGTCAGTCACTTAATTTCTCTCTATCAGAAAATATCTTACTGATCCTCACAGTTTTAAACGGTAGTCCATTTTATATTTTATGAAGTAAAACCACAGTCTCTATCTAAAAATAATTATTTCTGCAATTCCACTGCTCGTGAAGCATAAATTACACACTTCACTTTCAATTACATCTGTACTCTGGATTTCTCCCAGGCTCTGTTCCCCACCTGCGCCGATAATAGACCGTACGCAACACTGAGGTCGATCACACAGCGAATCGGCTCACCTTGACTCTGTGCTTTCCTTTCTGCATCTCGCTCTCCAGCCGTCTCTTCTGCTGGCTCTCCTCTCGCAGGCGGCGCTGCAGAAGGTCCTGCTGCTGCTTCATGTTGTGTACGTTCCTCTCCAGCTCCTGCACACGGCGCTCGCTCTGTGCAGACAGGGAGGCCAGCTGCGCAGTGTCCCGCTGCTTCTGCTTCAACACCTGAAGGCACAGCACAAGTGCAGGGCTATATTTACATTGACAGAAAGAATCGAGTTTTGCATTGAATTTGTAATACCAGAATATACAGAATGATGAACTGAAGGTTGTTGGCCGAAGGTTCTTCAAATATGATAACTGAACCTGAATGGTGCTCTTTCAATAAACTATGACAGTCCTTTTGTCACTATATTTTGTATTTGGTTTCAATTTACAAATGTTCTGAACGTAATACTTTAAGGCACTCCATGTAATTTTTCACCATTAAAGGTTGTTTATTCAAAACAAAGGCGTAGCTTGATGATCATGAGAGTTGTTGTCTTCACTTCTACAGACAATATTCATGGATAACCGGAAATGTATACAAGATTTATTAGCAGGCCGTTGGAGGGATTAATAATGAGAGACAAGTGCGACACATGGTTCGAGAGCAGTGGAGCTTTTATTATGCTGCAGATGCCGCTTCCGTTTCTTCCAGTCATGCGTATGTTGGGTAGCACACAGCTGTTTTATCATATTGGATACATTTGCGTGTGTTGAAAGTTGTCATAAAGCCACTCTGTGCGTTCGCTCTGCAGCTACGGTATGAGACACTTGTTGCACACTGCAGTGAGCTAGATCGATATTAGGCATGGTGAATATTATACTCGAGGTTAATCAGGAAAACGAGATTTAAACAAAAAAGAATAACTGTATTGAGCTGTATAACAATTATTAGTTTTCAGCAGAGCCACTTGAGTACGGTACTTAAAGGACAACTCCGGCGCAAAATGAACCTTTGGTTTAATTACACATTGTTACCTATTAAACCGTTATCTGAGATTTGTTTTCATGATTGCTGAATGTAAATAGTTTTATCTCTAAAAACAGTTTAGCCTATAACGCTAGAATAATGCTAGTATATAGGGCATAGAGTAATGACAAATAAAAATCGCTTGTTATTACCACTAACAAGGCTCAAAATAACCCCACACAAATATTGTAGCATAATAAGGGTCCCTACATTCAAACCGAAGCATTGAGAACTTTGTCAGTGTCCAAACAGTTTAATAAGAAGATATTTTATATTCACAGTCAACTTCGCGAATACAGGAAGAAGCCATCTTTGAAAAATAGTCTCTACCAGTTGATCTACGAACGCCGATCCAAGTGCGCTGAACTGTGCAGAATCTCATATGGTCCGTTGTTTCCAGAAGAAACACAAACACGAACCATTTTCTTCTCTTTGATATGTACACGTAGCCTACTGTTCGCGCTTATCCTAATCACCTTATTCACATCTCACCAGCGCACATGGATCGGTGTTCGTAGATCGACTGGTAGAGTCTATTTTTCAAAGATGGCTTCTTCCTGTATTCGCGAAGTTGACTGCGTGTATAAAATAGCTTCTTATTAAACTGTTTGGACACTGACAAAGTTCTCAATGCTTCGGTTTGAATGTAGGGACCCTTATTATGCTACAATATTTGTGTGGGGTTATTTTGAGCCTTGTTAGTGGTAATAACAAGCGATTTTTATTTGTCATTACTCTATGCCCTATATACTAGCATTATTCTAGCGTTATAGGCTAAACTGTTTTTAGAGATAAAACTATTTACATTCGGCAATCATAAAAACAAATCTCAGATATTAGACCAAATATCAAATATCTTTTCAAATAATTTTATAAATAAAAATTAGACCAAAGGTTCATTTTGTGCCGGAGTTGTCCTTTAAGCACAATTTTGAGGGATCAGTACTTTACTCAAGTCTCATTTTTGGGGAGTACTCATGACTCAAAGTATATTTGAGAGGCAAATATTGTACTTTTTACTCCACTACATTTCTATCCATAATTGTGAGTACCTGTTACTAGTTCTAAAAAAAATAAAAAATAAATAAAATCTCGGAAACCCTCATTTTGCTGTATCCCTCTCAAACGTGATTGGATTGTGCAAACGCCCATGATTGGGACACCCTATCAGCAATCAGCTTTCCGCCAAAGTCAACTCCATGATCAGATTTAGATAAGAGACGAAACAATGGATGAAGACACAGCAGGTCCATCCCGGGAATGTGCCAAACCTTGGCCCCATCTCACCAGACTATTTTAATTTTCTTAAATGTTAAATAAAGCACAGGGTAAAAAGAGAAAAATAACTTAATTTTAATTTTCAATTCCTTTTACATTCTCCAAGGTATTACCATTAACATTTTTCATAACTCCATGTAGGACGTTTCCATAAAATGTAAGCACTGTGGCAGTGGTAAATGCAATATTTAGAAAATGTACTTTTGATACTCAAGTACTTTTAAAAACAAGCACTTCAGCCCTTTTCTTAAGTAGACATCTGACTGTTTTAGTTTTACTTGTACTTGAGTAAAAGTACAAATACCCCTTGCTAAATGTTACTCAAGTAATAAAGCTGTGTACTCTGTCTGCTTCTGGTTTTCAGTCAATGAATATATACAAACAGTTGATCACCTGTCTAACAAAACACATAATATATTAAAGCGTCTCTGGTGTTTCCATGGTTTCTACAAAATATAAACAGAAATTTGAGGGTGTCATTGATAGGCAACGCACGGACACGGTCCGTGCCCTGGTTAAAACTGCTTATTTTTCTATGTGGGATAATGTAGGTACACAAATCAACAAAATATATAACATTGTTCTAGTGGTTTTTGAATATTTTGATCCAAAAAATCTTACATAGTGTGACTTTAATTCTGTTTTATACCTAAAAAAACCATTTATACAATTTTTCTATATTTTGTAATTTGTGTCTTTGCTTCTCATTTTATGATTGTTTCAGTTCATGCGGTAGAAATACAATAAATTCTGATATTGTGACGACCTTAAAACCTTTATAGAGAAACGTCACTCAAAAGAGATTTCCATAATGATGCCTTTCGGCAAGGCAAAGCTGCCAGACACAGACCTGAACTTTGCTCTGAGCAGCTGCGATTTTCCTCCTGCACTCCTGAGCTTTAGAGCGGTCAGCGCCATTACGGCCACCCTGAACCTCCAGGTCCTGGAGCTGCTTTTGTGCCTCTGTAAGCTCCGCACGGGCCTGCTCCGCCTCGGCTTCCAGCTCAGTGATCTTACAACTGTACTGCCTGTTCAAGGCCTGGGCATCCTTACCTACAGAGAAAGACAGGACGTGATCATTATTACACAACACTGATAATGATAAACTCAATGGACGATGAGAAAAGTTTGGGGTCTGTATGTTTTAGAAGACAAGGATGCATTAAACTGAACAAAAGTGACATTCATAATGTTACAAAATTTCAAATAAATGCTCTTCTTTTGATATTTCTATTCATCAAAAAAATCCTAGGATCACAGTTTCCACAAAAATATTAAGCAGCAAAAATGTTCTCAACATTGATAATAATAAGAAACGTTTTTTTAGCAGCAAATCAGCATATTAGAATGATTTCTGAAGGATCATGTGACACTGAAGACTGGAGTAATGATGTTAAAAAGATTCAGTTACTGTACATTGAATAAATGGACATTTGAAACTCAATATAAATAGTAAATATATTAAAAAACGTTATTAGAAATTGTAATATATCACAATATCACTGCCAGTTTCAGTTTTTTATCAAATAAATGTAGCCTTGGTGAACATAAGAGACTTCTCTCAAAAATTTTTAAAAAAATCTTATCAACACAGACCTTTTTGAGCTGCTACTGTCGTGCCACTTTCTAATGCAAACAATGCATTTTATAGAAAATTCAATAGGTTTTCTTTTTGGATATCTATATCAAATCATAAGCCTCATTAAAATGTGCCATCTGTTGGAGTCGTGACCTAGCGGTTCGCATACATGCTTCGATATATTGAGTTGGGGTGTCGTCAAGTGAACATTTACAGATAAGACTATAAAATATCCTTTAAGCAGCTCTCAGGCACATTAAACAGCACAAGCATCTGTCACAAAATACTGGGCACATGAAACTCAATGAGCTTTTTTAAAGCATTTAATATAACATGCTCCCACGCTTTGGGCTTGTATCGTGAATGTTTCCGCTGCAGCTAAGCTCTGTGACCTCTGCCATTTTGTTTCAAAGAAATGTGCTGTAAAGTGGTACAACTCATGAAGATTCCTGACTGCACAGACAGATGGTGGAATTGGTTATTAATACTTTTTTCATTATTCATTATTAATGATTTTATTCATTAGTCATTACACATTGTTTGGGATGACGTATTTCGTGACGGATATGTCATTATTTTTGTAGGCCAACCTGGAAGAGCTGATAGGATTTTTCTATTGGCCTCTGGATTATTTACATTAACATTTTATTCATTTAGCTGACACTTTTATCCAAAGCGACTTACAATTGCTATATATGTCAGAGGTCGCACGCCTCTGGAGCAACTAGGGGTTAAGTGTCTTGCTCAGGAACACATTGGTGTCTCACAGTGGATTCGAAGGCATGTGTCTTATCCACTGAGCCATCACCAGCCGATTATTGCAGACAATAAACTCTGGGACTGAAGTGAGTTTATATACAATTCAAAAAGACTGTATACTTGCATTTCATCAACTAAATAAACAGTTTTTCTTAGTAATTATCCAGTAAATTAAAAGACGACCTATTATGTAAAATTCACTTTTATATTATTTTTGAACATATTTATGTGTCTGCAGTGTGTGTACACAATCAGCCTATTGTGAAAAAAAATCCATCCACTCCATTTGTTATTTTCCCCATAAACCTGAAACTGAACCTCGCCAGAGCATTTAATAGCAGCATTCAAGAAATTAGTGATTTTGTTTTCCTTTAGTTGTTTGTACCATATTAACAGCATATATACAGCAGTAGGTACTGTATATTACGCTGCATCACTTTAAAACACAGATCTAATAAACATGTGATTTCTTTCCCACAGACATAACCAACTGTGTTTGTGAACTTTGTGTGTTATTGACTTTTAATGTAGTACCTAACCTGTTTTGACCAGCTCTTTAATGAGTTCCTCCTTCATGCGGATGGTGATGGAGAGCTCCCTGATCTTCTGCTGTGCCTGGAGAAGCCCTCTCTCCGAGCAGAACTCACCTCCAAAACCTCTCACGCTCTCCCACACAGAGCTCTCGCCAATGCTGCTGTTAGCTGGAGAATCAATCAAAACAAATCAAAGTGAACCGACTGAATGCTGGAAAGAAACTACTAGGGCCGGAATCCTTCGTTGAAGCACTGAGACCCTCAAGGCTTGTCAAATGTTTAACTCACATGTGCGTCTAGTGCATTGTATTCCCAGAGGATGGCCAAGCCCAAGAGCCTGAGGCAGCGGAGCCCTGGCAGAGGATCCTTGGAGCAATGGAGCTTCTTTTTTCGTCCAGGTTACATTCATAGACCTGACAAAAAATGGCAATGCTAAACAGATTTCTAAATACAGCAGATAGCCATTTCTTCTCAATTAAAGGGGCTATACGTAAAATTTAGGAACCCTTGTTATAAGCGACACCAGTGGCTGTTAAGTGAACTGCAGCCAGCAACATATTCCTCGTTCTAGACTGAAAGTGATTCATGGCCCAGATGTACTCATCTGCAAACTAATTTTTCATTTTGTTTGCTTAAAAGTAAAAAGAACTTGGAAATATCTTTGCAAAGATATACTTTTAAAAAACATCCTGACGCTGAGAACGACGTATTGATGAATATGTAAATATGTTCAGCATGCTTTCCTCTAAACAAAATAAACAACAAAAATGACAGCGGTGGGAAAACAGGAAGCACCTAATCATAGCAATTTGACTGCAATTCACCAGCATTATGTCGAGTCCTTCAGTCCGAAGGCTTTCCGACAACCTAGAAAGTCGAAGGTGATCTCGTTTTTTAAAGTTTCGATACAAGCGGATCACACATTATCAATACAAAAAGTGATCAATACATGGAAATTCTAACACACAGCCCCTTTAACTTTCTCATCAGCATTAATCTTCCATACTTGCGTTTATCTCTGGTGGTTTGAACATGTCCGTCTTCATCTCTGTTCACTCCTTTTCCAGAAGTTTCATAGTATGCGTTTCCATGTCCGCTGTCCCACTGGGTCTGGTCTGAAAATGAGCTGCTGTCCACTGACGGACCCATTTCAACCTAAAAAACACAACATTTGGATAAATGTAAAAAAAAAAAAAAAAAACATATTTTAAAACAAATTAAAAACAAATAATTTGAATTTATATTAATGTAAATCTATATACAATTTCAACAAAAATAATGCTAATGAACTATATAATTTGGCAGAATAATTTATTTTATTAGTATATTTAATAAACTAAAAATATTTGGATATCAAAAGAATTTCAAATAATTTTGGGGTTGTTAGGGCACCAAATATACTGTAAAATATATAATATACAAACACGACTGCACATCATTTGAATTCATATTAGTGCTCCAAAAATTTGCTCACCAAGTGTCACAAGATCTTTCAGAAATTATTCTAATATGCTGATTTGCAGCTCAAGAAAGATCTTATTATTAATGTTGAAAACAAAGGTGTGCTGCTCAATATTTCTGTGGAAATATATATTTTTATTTTAAAAAGGAATTTATTTGAAATGGATTTTTTTGTAACAATGGAAAAACGGTTTACTGACAAATAATGAATTTAATGCGACCTTGCTGAATAAAAGTATTAATTAAAAAAAAAAAAAACTTTTGAACAGTAGCTTTAGATTACATTAATAATCTTGACTAGGGCTGTAAAATATAAACACTAGAATGTGAACCAAAGTCACTATAAACTTATGTGTTTCTTTTGTTTTATCCTCCTTTTGCAATTGACTAATTTCAATAAACATAAACAAATAATATAAGGAACAAATGCTATATAGTGAACAAACAATATAGGCAAGTGTAAAATTCAGCAAGTTACTTCATCACTGCTGTTACAGCTGATATATTCTCGTCACTGCCATCTGTCATTTCGGAGAATGGCTGGTGCCAAGCGAAAGCAAACAAGGCTTAACACACAGCCGTTCATGGCTTATTGCTTTAATAAATAACCCTGTCTCCAGACAATACATCAAATGCCAGCTTCTCATTCAACAGGCATGAAAAATAAGCATCAAAAGTGGGTTAGGGTGCATAATTGTCTGTTAAGAAATCACAGTGTTACCTTGGCAATTAGCAGAATTTGCTTGGATCAAAGAATATGTGGGTGAAGTAAAAACACAGATTTAGACAACGTGTGTGACAACAGTTTGAAGATGTTTGTGCACTACTAACAGCTCAGCCCAGGTGGCGGCAGCTGTGTATTGTATCTTGAATTAAAATTAATGCGTGTTTGTGGCCGAGGATGCTGTGAGACAAATCAAAACATATCAATTACCTGTCTGGCGAGGCTTCTGCCCACATCACTGTCGCAGGGAGGAGTGAGGCTGCCGGAGCTGTCGGATGTCAGCAGCAGTGAGTGGATAGGAGCAGTGTGAGGTCTCTGTTTCAGGTGGAGCAATCCCACTCCACCAGGCTGGGCTAACAGACTGTGAAGCTCTGCTATTAGATCCTGCTGCTCTTGTAGCTTATCGCTCTAGGAACGAGAGAAAACAACAAGCAGTTCAATTCTTGTGAAAATACCAAAGATGCCCCAGTACTGTTTTAACCCTCGATTGGGACTTTTACTTAATAAAAAAAAAAGGTTTTTGGGTAATGTATTTCCATACATTATCTATCTATACACACACAAAAACTGGGCTTGATTCGGTTGTTCTGAAGGTATGTAAAAACTAAATGTTTGCACTTCAGGTCTTCGGGGTCAATATGACCCCACATTGAAATGAATGGGAAATGTGAAAAAAACGAAATATATTTTCTTCATATGTCAAAAAAAAAAAAATCTGGCATAAATCTGAAAATTATTACACAGAAATGAAGGCCTAGTACTAGAGCATAAATGCAATGCATCATAAAAATAATATTTCATATGCAAGCTAATGGTGTAGTTGAGGAATTGTGTGGTATATGGATACAAAAGTACTATATATCTCCAAAAACACAGCATTAATGAATAGATGATAAGTAAACAAAAAAATTATATATTATTTGTATGAATAAAAATGTAGATTTTTTTGTACAATTACTCAATCAATTGTTGGGGTCGTATAGACCCCGAAGCCCAGAAGTGTAAACAGGAAACAAAGACCATTTGAAGGTCAATGATTAAGTGCATTGTGAAAGACAGACAGCCTTGTTGATCCTGGAACAATATTCCAATCATCCAATCAGATTTGAGGGATAGGTTAATAGGAGTCAAGTCTAAGTTTATAATAAGGGTTAGTGACTTCTACACCATTCTTTTTCACCTATCATTTCTTTCTGTTTTAAGGGATAAGTTATGGGTTGTGTTAGGACTATGTTTTTGGATAGAAATATTGTTTTCAGGATATACAAAAGATGTTGGTCCAGGAACATGTCTTACTTGGCAAAATTACAGTGACCAAACAAACACCCTAAAGGCAGTGTTATATAATGTTTGGTAATTTAATGCACAGGTTATATAAAAAAATGACCATGGTTTTCACACAAATATTAAGCAGAAAAACAGTTTATTATAATAAGAAATGTTTCTTGAGCAGCAATTCAGCATATTAGAACGATTTCTGAAGGATCATGTGACACTGAAGACTGGAGTAATGATGCTGAAAATTTAGCTTTGTCATCACAGGTATTAAATTACATTTTTAAATATATTACAATAGAAAACAATTACAATAGCAGATACATCTTACCGACCCCAAACTTTTGAACAGCAGTGTATAGTATTTTTAAAATAAATGATAAAAAAAAAACTTTGCTAGATTTATGATGGTAATAACTTTGGAAACATCACTGTATGTGAAAATGGTCAATCAATAGCAATAGTAAGCCAACTACATATTTTAGAGAAGAGGATAATTATATTAATTTTATTTACTATAGAAACAAAGACTTTTCCAAGACTTTTAAGAATTTATTCATTTCCAACTCAGGAAGCACCTTAGCACCTTAAAATCATTCAGAAAAACTAAAAGCGCAGAGAATTTGAATGCCCTCACCTGTTGTTTGTATTGTTCCATGGCATCTTCCAGAGCAGCAAGAAAATCAGTGTTTTCTTGTTCTAGTTGCTGTATCTGGGCTTGCAGCTGGGAAATGTAGTCCTCTCGGTTCCAATCCTTATTGACATGGTCAGGATCCTTTGGCATAAATAAATCCCACCGCTGTGAGAATTACGCAGATAATCACACAGTTTACATCATGCGAGCATATCTGAAATTAAAGCTTGAGAAATAATGACCTGACAAGATGCATAATTGCCTTTTTATGATGAATTGTTAAATATCAAATATTCATATTTGAAAATGGATGTGCCTGCAGCCAACCTGGTTGTTCAATGCTGCCCGCCCTCTTTTTAGCGCAGTGCTGTCCTCAGTAGAGCTGCTCTCAATGCCGCTGTCCAGCCCCGATGCCGAGGTCAAGCCGCTGCGTTCCTCCTCAACGGCACAAAGCCACTCTTTCACCCGCAAGAGCTGACCTGCGTTCAGAGTTCCTTCCCCCTGCAGCTCCGTCAAAAGCCTGTAGGCCGAGTCTGTGCACGTCCGGTAGTGGGCGCTCTCTGCTTGGAGCTTTCTCACGTCCAAAAGCTCAAAGGGCCGAAGTCTCTTCTCGGGGTCGGAACGAGCGATGATACGGGTTTCAGAGCGCTGGCGGTTTTCGAGAGCTCGTCTTAGCGCTTTGATCTGGAGTTCAAGGCCCTCGACGCGGTCAGGTTCCCCCCGGCAGTTGACTGTGGCTCGGTTCTGGATGTTACGAGCCCGCTTGGCGTAGTTGAGTGTATTTAGGCTCTCATCAAAGTCTGAGGATGAAGGGCTTATGCAGGCAATCATGAGGGTTTTGGCGTTGCCTCCAAGAGAATCCTTTAAAATCCTGACAACAAGTTAAAATTGTTAAACTTACATAAAGGCGATGATACAGATGCCCTCTTTCCAAAACCTTTCCCTACAAAAATACCACTGAGAGCATTTCAATCAGAGTTAAAGAAAGTGAGCAGCAACACAGTGTGATCTCAGTGTGGTCAGTAGTAAAATAGGATTCTCTTAAAGGGGTAGTTCACTTTGAAATAAATTTTTTGATATGTTATATCTTAACTCAAGGGGATCCAAGATGTAGGTGTCTTTGTTTCCACAGTATTTGTTAGTTAATACAAACTAACTTTTATCCCTTTAATACAAACTAACAATCAGAGCAGAGCAGCTCGCGGAAAGGAGGGATTTAGAGAGATCGATTCATCTGATGAGTCGTTTGAGAATTATTGCCTTGATGCATGCACACCTGTTGTAGGAAACTCCAAAACAACATTAGGAAACTTTAAAATAGCATAATAGGGGCACTTTAAGAATTTTCCTGTTGACGCTTCACTAAATAAACAGCATTTTTGTCTTTTGACTTTAAAGTCCCTGTAAAGTCAAAATTAAGTACGTGTTCTGAGTTTGTCACACCACAGAAAAATGTGTTATTAGCCACCCAGCCAAATTTGAATGATAAAAAAGCCGGCAAGTACATAAAACAAGCTCTCAAACGCTGGGGGCGTGTCCGCTGGCTGCGTTGAAACCACGGCCACTCGCGGGAAAGCTGCAGACGATGAAACCGCTCTCAGGACAGGAGGATGAAGGCCGAGGTGGGAGATAGTCGTTTTGGCCCGTTCACCAGTGACAGTGGATTGTCAGTGAATCCCAGTTGTCTCTGAGGAAAGTTTATAAAATGATCCCGTGTAAAATGATCACTTCAGAGGCGGGTGTGGGTGGTGATCCTCAGCTCTCCATCAAGGTTGGCTCTTCACAAAATTAATCCACCTCTTCTTGATGTGATCATTTTTAGGAAATTTAAATAAAGAAACTGATCTGTTTTGTACATGATCGCATTCAGGTAGTAGCGTATACCGTGTCGAAGGCATAGCTAGCTAGAAAACTTTAGGCTGTAGTAACTATAGGCGCTTTTCCATTGCATAGTACGGTACGGTTCGGTTCGGTACGGCTCACTTGTGGTGCTTTTCCACTGCATGGTACGGTACAGTACGGTTCGCTTCAGGACGCTTTAAATGGTACCTGGTCTGTTGAGGTTCCAAGCGTACCGTACCGGTACTAAAATGTGATGTGAAACACTGCAGATCACTGATTGGTCAGACAGAATCGTCACTACCAGCGTCACTACTAGCGTCATTGGATTTGCGACACGAGACACGAGACACTTTTTTAGCAGTATTTTTGTTTTGCTGCCATCAGCCTCATTTTAAACACATTTTTCCGTCTAGCAGTTAAAAACAACCACATACCGAGAATCAGGAACACCATCCCCTCGATAGTCTCCATTGTTCCTGTGTTGTGGGTTTGAAAATGTGGCGCTTTTAAGATGATGTCATGGCAGTAGAGGCGCGCGCAAATAACGATCAGTCCCACACACTTTGAAGGGGTACTACTGCAGTGGAAACGCAAAGGGAACCGAACTGTTCCGCTCCGAGTCGAAGCGTACTGCGCCGAACCGTACCGTACTATGCAGTGGAAAAGCGCCATAATAGTACTGACAGTAACTCGCGATTGAGCGGCGAACTGATGCGAATGTGCTCTATTGTTAGAGGAGGGGCCAGCCTCAGTGGCCTCAGAGCATCATCAAGTAGGGGCGTGTCTACGAGATTAGGCGCTCCAGTGAGTCATTTTAGCCCCGCCCAAAAAAATCAGGCAAATTGCAATGGTGAAAAACTGTTTAAACGGTAACTAAACCCCTGGTCAGAGCCTGACTCCACCCACTGGCAATATTTGAAAAATGCTGAAAAAGTGGGCAGACCCCAGCGGAGATAGAGGGGACGAAATAGCTAAAACACTCTTTCCTGATCATCTTCAATACTCGCAATTCCAACTCCTGACTCGCTACAGTGGTTTTGACGAAACAAGCTGGTTTTTATATTGCCAAAGGGCGTAGCTCGTACCAAGAGCGTGGTGAGCTGAAACCTGCGTACGTCACGAAGTGCGGATCATCCAATAGGAAAATTCAACTGCAGTAGCCACCATTCAACCTGAAGAGGGCAGCACTAAGACGTTTTTACACCATATATTGCAGAAATAAAACACTTTATACACAAATGTCAAAAAAGTTACTCGAATCAAAGCCTGGTATTAATAAAGATCCATTCTTACAGATCATTTACTAAAAAAAGTTGGTTTAGGGTTTAGTTACTCTTTAACTCCACATTTCAGTGCTTCACAGTTCACAGTCTTTGTATTATGTTTTAGCAATACATTTCTAACGTAGTAATAGTGATTCTTGCTTTAGCAAACATTACTATTAACATAAAAAAAGTAAAAAGATTTGTACCTGGCGATTTTGGAATCCCTGTATGGAATATGGGTGCCTTTTCTTTTGGGATCCCCAAGCGCTCCAATGACATTTCCGAGAGCGAGAAGTCCACTGTTGATCTGAATGCTCTCCTTGAGCCGTTCACCGGTGTTGCCGGTTTTGAGGATTCGCTCTGATCCAGCCAAGTCCACAAAATGGAACTTGGAAGAGAGGATCTGCACAGTCCCGGATGCTGCTCGGGAACCTCCACGCCTCTGTTCCATGAGCACCGTGAAGATGGTGTGAGAGCGACTGGATTTGGGGTTCATCTGGGTGGCCCCAGTGTGACGGGCCGTCTTTCCTGACTCTAAGAGACTCAGCACCTCATCAAGTCCCTCCACTTCACATTCCTTCACACCACAAAGCACTGTGGGAATACACAAAAGATGTCTTTCTTTTTCTGAACAGTCACGTATTGCTGAAAAGCACTTCAGCAATCTAAAATTTCCTAGTCTAAATGGGCAGTTTTGAAGAGTCTCAACACAAAACACTAAAGTTGTGTCCCAAATGATGCACTATACACTATGTACTTATGCACTATTTACTCAACAGTGTAGTGTATGAACTTTATTAACTAATTTTGTCATTGCCCCTCCCCCTCCGCAACATAAATAAAGAGTCGAGTGCATGAAGTGTCCAAAATTTCACACTTCCGCACTAATTTCCACACTATTTCTACTATGAAATGGCAAAAAATAGTGAAAAACGCAAATCAGGAGGCACCATAAAGGGATAGTTCTCCCCAAATTTTTTATTTTGTCATCATTTACTCACCCTCAAGTTGTTTCAAACCTTTCAAACAAAGAAGATATTTTAAAGAATGTTGGTGAGTAAATGATTACAATTTTTTTTAAATTTTTTTTGGAACTAAACTTTAAGTACATAAAAAAACGGAAACAGAATATTATAAGCATTTTAACAAAGGAGAAGTACCAAAAGTAAAAATAATAATAAATGGATGCTATCAGGATTTTGAGGGATTTTATGGGCAGCTGACATGATTTCAATTTATGACATGCTATAATTAATCTTAAAAAAAAAAAAAAATAGGAATAATTTAAAAAAACAATAATTATTAGAAAAGTATAAATATGCATTTTAAACAATAATAATTCTTAATTATTTATATGGAGGTTATTTTTATTATTTAATAAAATAATTTAAAAAAAAATAGCTTTACAGGGAACCCACAAAGTACGTAGTTGATTTTGAGAATATGTACTAGCATTCAAAAGTTTGGGTTCAGTAAAAAAATAAAAAATAATAATCACTTTATTCAGGATCAAAAGTGATAGATAGACATTTTAATGTACAATAAATATTTATTAATTTATTTATAAATATATATGGACATGTAGAAAAAATATATATATTTCAAATGTTCATCTGAATTTTCTCAAATTTATCAAAGAATCCTGAACAAATTTGTATTACAGACTCAAAAAAAACTATCAAGCGTAATATTAAAATAATTTTCAACATAGATAATATTAAGAAATGCTTCTTGAGGAGCAAATCAGCATATTTGTGAAGGATCATGTAACACTGGAGACTGGAGAAATGACGGTTGAAAAATAAGATTTGTCTCAAAGTATTACTTTTACCGTATTTTTGGTCCAATAAATGCAGCATTGGTGAGCATAAAAGTCTCTCCAAACTCTCACCAAACCCAAACTTTTGAACGGTAATATAGTTTTGCACATCCCTACTTAATCCACTTCTTGCACCAGTTTTCCATGCAAACCTACCTATGTTGCCCCTTTCATCCTCTCGAATATGTATGTCTTTACTGGCCGTCTCAACTTCCAAAAGGTCTCTGAAGACCTCTTTGTAAACCTCCATGTACGACACTCGAACAGAGAAGTCAACGAGGTCATTCTCATCCAGCAGTTTGAAGACCTCGGCCACGGCTCTGGGAATGATGCCCTGCTCGTCATCCCTAAAAGCAGCTGCGGCCAAAAAACCAACAGAAGGTTAATGAATAACTCTATGAGGCAGAATGCTAAAACGCAAGATCTCAGATTGCCAGTGGAGCGGTGGCAACTGAACCGGGGGAGGTGTTGCTGGCAGCACGAACGTGCAAACTCGTGGAAGCATTTCAACAAGTCGGACAAAGCCTTTCCTAGCCTTAATGTGAATAATGTCTGGTCTAGATGAAGCACATTTATAATAATATGCTGTAAGGAATTGAACTTAAGCATGCTTTTGATCTGTTTACTCAACACATAAGCTGTCACAATACTCAATATACCTCCAATAAAATAAAAACATTGCACTTCTATAGGCTATATTGATGAATTATACATCATTAACACTATTATTTGACTGTTTATTAATGTGAAGCATCTATGAAACAATCTGTACAAGCACTTGATGTGACTTGACTTCCATATAAAGAACTTACAAATGTTGGCTTCTCCAATGGTGTAGGTTTTGCCCGAGCCGGTCTGCCCATAGGCAAAAACCGTGGCATTGAAACCATTAAAGAAGGCCTCGATCAGAGGTTGAACGCAGTCTCTATACACATCCTCCTGTGTAGAGCTCTCCTCAAACACAAAGTCACAGTGGAAGTGGCGGCCATTGCCTAGGGTGACCCTCTTCTCCTCTGGATCTGCAGTGATGCAACTCTCATGGTTGTGCAAAATCTCTTTGGGAAGCAGGGGACGCACGCGGACGGCCACCTGTACAGCGGTTTCCTCTACTTTACTTTGGCCAACTCCTTTGGGAGACATTTCTGAGCTGATTAGCAGACCCTCATTGCTTCTGTGGGATACCGCTTCCTGTAGGCACTGAATTAAATAAGAAATATGGATTAACAGAGTAAAGTGCAAAACATCTTTGATAAAGACCTTTCAACTAACCTCTAGTTCAATAATAATAATAGGGTCATTCCATGTCAACTCAACCAGAGGTCTTCTGCTTAAATATTTTTATATATAAGTAAGACTAACATAAATAGTGATGTTATAAGCCAAAATAAAAACCATATATAAATAATTGAAGTAAATCACTATTTTTTAGAGGGGGCCCAGACTGTTCACCTAAAATGCAAAGCCAAGTTACAGGGGGTAAAAATGACTTTAGAAAGATGGCAGCAACGTTATTTTATTTTTACACAGAGATTAGATTTAGTAGGTCAATAAGTTAATTATTTTGTCATTAAATACCAATTGAGACAGTTCCCCCCCCCCCCCAAAGCTGGCATGCCTGTAATTTAGAAAAGTAATAAGGATTTCTAAATATGTTTTTTTAGATTTTTTAAACTTTTTTTTTAAAGTTAATGTGCCTCAACTTGACTATTTCAGTATTTTTGGCACTGAAATATTGTTAAAATTGGTATGTTCAATGCAGTTGTTTTGATAGAAGTAAAGAAGATACATTACTTTTAACATTATATGTTCATCAGAAATTCCTATTTCAATGGAATGAGTATATCAACTGTTTGAAAGTTTCCCATATTTGGTTTTCAACCATTGAAAATGGCTAAAGTTGCCTTTAACAAATATTTTGGACATGGAACTGCATTGAGATCCTTATATCTCTGGCAATGGACCATATAGAAAACAGGGTCTTAAAAATAAAGATGACAAAATAAAAGTTTGTTGAGAACCAGAATCTAAAAGGATATCTTTAAAACTCCAAAAATCTCTGGAATTGAAACATGTAGGCCCTTCACAATTTTTTCAAAAACATGTAAAAGGATATTAAGATATATTTAATACATCTTGAGTTACAGGCATGCAAACTTTAGGAGTGGGGGAGTCTCTATTGGGATTTAATGAAAGGATTGCTAAAAAAGACCACAGAATTTACCAATCGACCTCTTTATTTATAAAAATACACGAAGTAATTTTCTCCCACCTGTAATTTGGCTCCAAATCTCAGATGAAAACTGTCATTTTGACCCCTTCTACAAAAGAGTGGATTACTCAGTAAATATACTGTGAAATATAATTTTTTTTTAGATTTACATTATTTTTAGATTGTTCAAGGTCACTCTAAATGTATATATATATATATATATATATATATGCGTCAAGCAACATTTCTATTCTACTACAATTTCTAAATTTCTACACAACACTAGAACTGATTGAAAATAAACATATCATTTAAAGCAATATTTAAAATGCATATTAAAATTTCATTTGGCTTACGTATAATTTAGTAATGTATTTTGTTGTTGTTGTTCTTGTTGTTAAACTGTATATTTTGTAATTGAAGTAAGCTAACATACTGATCAGTCACTACATGATAAACCAAAATTAAAAACAACTATGCAGATAATAACAATTTAAGAAACAAAAATCCCTACCTCTGATACAACATGACAATAAAACTACAATCATTAAATAATTACAATCTACATCCGAAACAATAAACCATAAACAAACAACTTTCAGACTAGTTGGGAAAAGTTTAATCTGGATCGAAACAAAAACATGCAACAGCAAATAAAAGTATTTCATAAATGACAAATGACAAATACGATACGGGAAAAAATCAGCGAGTTCATAACTATGCAGAGAATGTGAGAACTTCTTTCCCCTAAAGTCAGATTAGCCTAGCCGCTAGCAAATGTATTAAAAGTTAAAATCTCTTTAACACACACAGCACACACTGAAAACAAAGCTCAAAACATGCACGCGTGGATTTTGCCTAGAACACATAGCGCGTACACGCCCGCAAGCTGCTACTGTAATGTAAAGTTTTTAGTGGTTTTTCATACCTTTCTTACTTACTGTTGTTTCCGAGTCCATCAATCTGAGTCCTCAGGGCACATCCCATTCCTATTCCCAGAGCCCATTCCCTGGATCCAGACCAGCCCATGACGAGCGCATGGTGATGTCATTCAGTCGGCTCCCCAAATGCCTGAGTAAAATCGGACTTATAGCGGTTCTTTGTTTAGTTTGTTTGTTGTTATAGTTTGATGGCTAAAGCTAACTAGAGAAATTATCATGAAACCTATAAAACGAAACCTTTGTGTTTCACAAACAAGTGAAAAGTACCATATTGTTTGCATTTGTAATAGGGATAATAAAAACAATATTAAATTGATGATTTTGTTTGGAATCAGCCTGTGTGATTGGGATGCTGGGGCTTGTTGTCTCAGTTTAGCCTACTCTGACTCTGAAAGTCTAACTAAAATACTAAAGCAAAACTAACTGAATGCATGTGACAGTGAAATTTGTAGTTGAGAATAGCCAAACATATATCAGTAAATCTGAAGTCACAGAGAGAAATGTTTTAAGAGTTTCAAACTTGTAGAATTTTTTTATCTTCCACAAACACAACACAACAGTTACACCTTCTCAAATTCTTCATTGCAGGTGCACAAATCCTATTCTACAAATCACAAATTAAGAAACTCGTATGCTCAAATGTTTTGCTACTTTTGCTGCAGTGAATGTGATGCAAAAGGCATTTACACACCTGCATCAAAAGTGAAGTCATGGGCCTACTGGCTAATTCTGGCACACTGTACATTTAATCATGTATCATTAGTGTGCATTGTCCCTGTTAAATAAACCTGAAAGAAATAAATAAAATAAATGGGGAAATTTTGCTTATCTGCACATCAACTTAGACCTATGTGAATTCATCCAATGAGAGTTGCACACTTGTAGAATATTTTATCACAAATGTCTTGAATATTTTTCTAGCGCAAAACGCAAACACAAGTAGGCTACCACAGCTGCTTGAATCTGCTGCTACGAATCTCAAACACTGCGTTTGGCTTTCAAGTGTCAAATGCAAATTTCGCGCCCTCTCCCTTTTGCACCAAGTGTGCACAATGAAATGTGGTGCAAAAGTGAGTTTTTTTTTTATTTTTTATTCTTCAACAACATAAAACAACAAGGTACATTAACACATCTCAGCAAATAACCTCAAATTCCTCAATTATTCAGCATACGGTTGAGCATCACAACAGAGGAAAGAAAAAAACTGACTGGTGCAAAAGTGAGTTGTGTATCTGTAGAGGCAGTGGGCGGAGCCAACATTAATATTCATGAGTTCCCGAGTGGAACTGCTTATTCTTGTTCACACTCCTCTTTTCTCAGCAGGTTTATTGGATTATTTCAAAAATGGTAAATATAGTTTCAGCACGAACTTAAACTACAATCGTTGTTCATTTCGTTTAGTTCATAATGTTTTCATTAATTCGTCACTGACCAAAATATTGCTGGCATTCACTTCGTTCGTGTAGGCCTATATAAAGTAGGCCTAGTACAACAAACTTGTAACTCGTCGTATAGCCTAAATTGCACCTTGCAACGCTTTAACTGTGGCATTTACTAATTGTTATCATTTGTTGATTGCAATAAATGAAACCCTCATACATTTATCTGTGGACTAACACTTTAAAAAATATATTATAATTATATGTTAAACATTTTATATTATATTCTCAAGCCTCTTATATATCCATTGAACACATTGCCAAATATGGGGTAAGGGTAAGTTGTCACAAAAGAACCTACCTGTCATCAGCCAATTTGAAAGCATGAATATTGCAAAAAAAATATTGTTTTGTCCAGCAAATGACAAAAATGTAACTGCCTTTCCCTGAAAAAAAAAATACTCTTACCATTGATTCAACTTTTCATTTAAAATCTGTCTTAATTATTTAGTTAACTCTAAATCTATGTCAATGTGATTTTATTTTCGCCCAATTAGACACCAATCAATAAAAAATAAAAATAATTAGTTCATTAGACAGAATTCACAGAAATAATACGGCTAATTGAAGAGGGGTTTGAACTGAGCGAAAGCACATTGTTTCTGTAATTAGACTTTGCTTTACATTTTATTCCCTATATGTGACAAGTTCCACTGTTTCTGTTAGGAAATGAACCATTTTCATTACTGTTAAAAGTCAACAACAATAAAAAAAGCAATCCATTTTGAATGTATTTGCATGTAATTGTTTTTATTAGTCCTTAAGAAAATGGGCAAAAAAAAGACTTTTTCTTTTATTGATTTATTTGGAAAACACAGCTCACTGTACACACAATAAGAGTGAGTGGACTACAGTATAGTGGATATCACATTTTTGTAAAGTAAAAACAGTAATTAATGCCAGTTTTTACAAATGTTCTACTAAATGGAACAGAATAAATTAGCATTTTTAACCTCTTGCCTCACAGGCACAATGCCAGCATCACTGATCAATGTCATCTAAAGTGATGATCAGTCAGTCGATGGTAGATGAAGTTCACGGTGAGTGGATTCTGGTCACTGAGGCAGACTGTGACTTGTTGTCAGTACTGGTGATGTCACAACAACAAAATCACTAGTCTTCCATGGTGACCAAAATATGTGAATGTGAAATACAGCAGAATTAATGTGATTACAATACCATGCTGGTTGTTGGTTACTCTCAGTTTAACAAAAAACATGCATATGCGAATTCAAATAAAGCTTTTAACGACAGCAGTTGAAATGTGTAAGGATGATAACAAATATATAATTAAATAGTGCCAGATTTGAAACGTTTCAGATTGAAAAAAACAAAAAAAGACCAGAAAGCTAATAAAACCCTCGTTTAATATAAAGTGACTTGAAGACACCTTCAGAAATAATGTCTGGAGTTAATAATGTCAAGCCATTGAATCCTCATGCCCTTTCCAGACGCAGTCTCTGCTGTCCATATCCGTCTTTATATCCACAGGTTATCAACTGACTCCTCATTACTCAAGCCTCTCACACTGATCCTTTATTACATTTCAATGTTGGCTACCAGTTTAAATGTGGATGCACAGGACCTGCCCTCATAAAACATTCACTGCCTCTCTCTCTAAACAATTATGCTGAATAACTTTGGCATGGATTTAAAAACAAAACAAAAAGCTCTATCGGAAGTCTTCATTGTACATACATCGCACTGGGGTGACACAGACTGTCATAATAGTGGAGATTGTAACCAAAGACAGATCCTTTTAAACCATTCTGCACATCTGCATGCATTCGGGCATTTACTAAAGGTCTCGCCTCATGAAAAAGGTCTCTTTTATTGCGGGCTTTCCAATCAACCTCTTGGTGGATATAATGGTTGAATAGTAATGCATTATTAAAATCTTAAGAAATCATGTTTTCTAGTTGCAAAGAGGGTCTTCCATTTTGTACAATTTCCACTGAAGCATTTTGGGTAAAAGTGGGTGTATGGTGGTTAGTGTGTCCTTGTGTGGTTTGAATGGACACAAATGGTCATAATAATCACTTGTGCAACTTGCTTGACTTGCCACTCACGAACCATTTTCACATCCACTCTGAAACGAGGGGGCAAACAATGCGAACAACAGAAATATTGTTCTGAGAAATTGTGCCCACTGTTGAAATAAACAACCAGACTACACTTTCCAAAAGAAGAACCTAATTAGTCAGTTTTGTGGGGAGAATACAACTCTCTATAGCCACTTATGTTCCGGTGACTGACAGATGTATGAATAGGGAGGACACTCACAGATCATATTTTCAATTTTCGATGCTGTGCAAGTTGATTTTTTTATAGTTACCATTTGATTTGGATTATATTTTTTGTGATTTAAAAGATTCAACATGAATATGGCAAAACATTTCAATGACATGAATTTCTAAGTTTGACTGAATTCTATACATTTTCTACACAAAGACATATGTCTCAATTAAATTACTACAACAATCCTATGTCTGTAAGGTGAAGTAGAGTCTGCAGTAATTTAATTATGGTGCCTCATCAAGCAAGCTTGTTACTCACAGAGTATGACAAGGAGGTCTGATATTCTTTTTTATTCCTATTAATTTCCTCCTAAGCTCTGAACTGAAATGCCTAGCAAAAAAATAAGACTTACCCCTACGCAGGCTCTTACTTCACAAACTGAGAAACACAGTCACACTCAGATATACACCAATAACATGGCCGGAAGGTGTTGTTTGGTTATTTGTTTTAACAGAAGGTTATCAGAGCTCTACAGGGAAACTAATCAGAGGTTGACCGTGCAATAAAACCTCATATAGTCAATTAGTGGATATAATAAGAACAAACATCTAGACACCCTTGTTGGCAAAATGCTATCATAAATGCCCATCATAAACAAGTTTACTAATTTAAATGCTGACCTTTCTGTGTTTGTAATGTTATGAATGCAAACAACACCGATATTGTTTGTCATCATGTTAAAGCCCATTCACATATATAGTTCTATAGCTACCATTTGATTTGTATTGTATTTTTGTGATTTAAAAGATGCAACATGAATATGGGAAAACATTATATATTCATTTCAATGACATGAATTACACACATTCTACACAAAGGCATATGTCTCAGATAAATTACTACAACAAATCCCATGTCTGTAAGATGAAGTCTGCAGTAATTAAATTATTGTTTTTCATAAGGTTAAGGCCCATTCACATCAACTATAACGATTACAAAAATATATTGTCATTGAAATTGTTCTAAATCCACATCACAACTAAGATAGCGACACAGAAACAAAATCGTTGGAATCACTTTCAGAACAGCTGATGAAAGATAAAAACATCGACAGCCAATCATAATCCGTTCTGCTGTAAGGGCTTGAGCATTTAAAGTGGTAGACAAGAAAGCTGAGGCGTACGCTTAGAGGAAAGTGTTATCGTTGGTTGGTGCGGATGCTAATATAGTTATCGTCCTTGCTATAAACAGGCCTTTAATGTGCTTATCAAGAATGCACTATTCTGTTCTGAATGAGAGATCCATGTAACCATTTACTCTGAAAATGTTAATTTCATAATCATAACAGTAGACTGATTTTTTTTTAAAGTACACTCAGACACAAACAAATGAGATATCACATTTGGAGTCAGATTTTGAGTAATTTTGTGATTTCGATAAATCATACACGGTT